TCATGTGAAAAGCTATGTGGCTCTGAAAGGCACGTACCCAAGCTAAGCACTTGCTTTTTCAGAGCCCCATTAAGGATTTGCACTGAGACAATTTGGAAGATAACAAAGAACAGGTGATTTATTAAAGTGACAGGTTCAAGATTTGGAGATGCCATTGATAAATTCACGCTCTGCAATAGTGCTAATATATAATAGTAATGCTAGCAAAATACTATCCCGGGTATTTCTCAACCAAAAGATGAAAGCGCAATTCTTATCAAGAAGGCATCCCTGTCTTGGGTGAAAGAGAAGGAGCACATCCCGTCAACTGCCTCTTCTGAGTTTGTTCTTTCCCTCCATTGACACGCTCCCTCCACGTTCCTTATATACTCTCTCCCCCATCCTGGGGTGATATCTGGCATGATTTGAGTTTAGAATGGGTGACTATAATCATATAGGGATATTAAGGCTAAAAAATCCACTCTGGGCATTGTGGCCTTCAGAATTCTGTTTTGAAGCAACTTACCTGTTTGCAGGATGGTGTTGACATTGTTAGTCTCCATCTGGCTTTGTTCCTTAGCCTGTTCCTTGTCCTGGCACCACAAGGCTCCCTTCTTCAGCTAGTTCTCACTGTCCAGGCCTTGTTGATCTCCATCCCCAGTGTCTGCCAGCTGAGAGGCAGATTCTGCATTCTACAAGTCTCAAATCCTCGGGTTAAAATATCATATATTAATAATCTGCCTTTTTCACTTTTCAGAATTGTTCAGTGTAAAACATGCCACATGTTTTTTCCTGGTGAGTCAAACCAACAGGATTTCTTGACAAGTCTCTTTGGCAGTGTAATTGCCAGTGGTAGTCTCTCCAGGTGCTCTAGGGCAGATGTCCTGGGGAGAAGGCAGCTGACTGGAAGATGCTGCTTGTGCTCCTTCGACAAAGATACATGTGTCAACATGTTGCTGTTGACACAAAGCAGGACTTCTGGAAGAGATTCTTAAGGTTGAAGCCTCCACTATCCAGCAAGATGAAGAGGAATGGTTCCTCCATGGGACCATTTCAAGTACCTGAAAAGATAATTTGTGTTTTCTTATGCATAGGTAAGATACTAAATAAGACAGACACTGAAAGTTAGCATGTAAAAAAGAATTCCTCACTGAGTACTCAGATGACTTCGTGTTTGCAGCCTCACAGACTATGAATGCCCGCTGTGCATGGCCTGTGAACACACAGGCTGACAGCAAGCTCTGCAAGCATACACATAGTTGATGGGAAACTGCTATGCGGGATGCATTTCTTTATCCATGAACAGGATCCTGAATGACACAGTCTCCCCTTCTTGAAGTTAAAACTGGAAGGGGATTTGTCTTGAAGGCAAAACTTTGTATTTGACACAAAGGATTACTATTGTTCACAGGATGCACTGTTCTTTCAGCCTTTGTAACACTGATAATAGAAGAGAGAAAAATGTGTAACACAGATGGAAATCTTTATAGAAGGCAATTGAGGCAATGCCTTGGAAGTCTGCTCACATACTCTTCTAGGGACTAAAAATCCCAAATCACTCTTATTTAGAAAATTGCTTTTATGGGAGAGGAAGGGCAAGGTAGCTGGTAGGTGTATAAAATAATGTATGGGAAAGGATGATGTTTGTCTGTGATGAACAGTATCATGTCTCAACTCAGTTCTCCCTCTCAAAAATACACTGAGTCAATGAACCTTGTCTTAGAGAATACAGGAGATCTGACTTCTTACAATTAATTAATTATTTTTTCCGGTGTGGAAAAAGAGGCGAAGTGTTGCATCTTGCTTTGGTACAAGACGCTTTCCTCCATCTTCTCTAAGTGTGGTTTGCTCCTTCCTGTTCTTAGCAATCTTCCTCTGCTTTGTCTCTTGGAGGCTGGCCATACTGCCAAGAGAGGGCAGCAACAACCAAGCACAGAAACGCCACGCCTGGCCCTATTATTAGGTCACATGGGAATTAAATTTAAGGGATCATCATCACAGAAGCTCTTGTGTCTTACTGTAATTACTGCTCAATGCACCTAGTCTGCTGCCAATTTGTTCTTGCCGCAAAAGCAAACTCCTGAATTGTTCTCTTTCCTTCATGTTTTCTTTCAAGCAAAAGAAATAAGGCCAAACTTCCCATCAATAATTTGAAAATAAGTTATGTGCCACGTGAGCATGGCCAGAAAAAACACCAGGTGCTGCTCTGAGGATGCTGTATAGAGCATATTTTCCCAGCTTTACAGGGGACTAAATGCACATAACCAACCAGTGCACAGCTATACTCTATCTTTATTTCCACGTGTAAAACATTTTCATTGTTCATGCTGTCAGCCTCCTACTGCAGGCTGCAAGACTGGTAATACACTGGCTCTCTATTCCCATTCTCAAATGGGCAGCATTTTCCCTCGAATCCACCATTTCTTTAAGATCCAGAGCCACCTCCTTCATGTCAAAGGCTCCATGATCAGATCACCATATATCCTTAAAAACATGCCTATTCAAATATTTACTGACTTGATCCAGGCTGAACCTGCTTGAGGGAGTGGGAGAGGAGTAACCTGGTTGGTTTTAATACAGTTAACTATTTTTACCTCAGAAGGAGCTGCAGTGGTTTTGGCCCCCACCTTTGGAGGCAGTTGGTTCTCTTGCTCATGCTTTTGAGACTACACTATTAAAACACAACAATCACAGTGGACTTTCACTTCAGGAAATTGCCAGTACCTGTTGGAAATGGTGGTAGAGAGAGGTAGGCACCACATGGACTTTGTTTTACTGCAGGACAAAAGTGCTGTTGCTCTCTGGGAGTCTGCTCTTCCCAGATCAAATACAGATGCCAGATGTTGACTCAGTCATTGGAAAACACCTAAACCCCTACCGATATAATGAAACAAATATTTAAGGACAGAAACGTGCTTTGCAGAGCTAAACAGGGTTAGAGCAGTGGGAAAGCAAGAAACACTGGATGACTGCTGCCGTCTGTGCTATACTTAGACTTGAACAGACTAATGCTGGCTTAACCTTGTGTGTAAAAAAAGGAAAAGCTGTGGGTCTGACAGAGACCTAGTTGCGGGAGACCTTGGAGGACTTCTTAGGGCAGGAAGACCTCAGAGAACACCAAGTGCACAGGGAAGGTATTCGGCCAATGTTAGACCCAAACGCCTCATTCCAGAAACCTCTCTGTCTGAGAAAAGGGGAAACACCCACAGTCCTACTGGTGATGGTGCCCATTCCTCCTCATCCAGGAGGATGTCCATCAAACAGCATTTTCAGGGCAGAAGATTAAATGTGAAGAAGGGTGTCATGTGAAAGGTATGTGGTTGTGAGAGGCACATACCCCAGCTAAGAACTTGCTTGTTTCAGAGCCTTGGTAAGAACTTGCACTGAGTCAATTTGCAAGGTAACCAGAAATAGGTAATTTATTAAAGTGACAGATACAAGACTGGGAGTATATAAATTCGCTCTCTGCAATAGCCCTAATATATGATAATAATGCTAGCAAAATACTATCCTGGGTATTACTCACCAAAAGTGGAAGAGCAATTCCTACCAAGAAGACGTCCCTGTCTTGGGGTGAAGGAGCACAGCCCTGTCAACTACCTCTTCTGGGGTCTTCTCCCCCCAACGACACATACCCTCTATGCTCCTTACATACTATCTTTCCCCCGCCCCGGGGTGTCACTCAGCATGATTTGAGAGAAGAGTGGGTGGCTATAGCCATATAGGGATATTAGGGTAAAAATTTCCGCTCTGGGCCCTGTGGCCTTCAGGATTTTGGTTTGAAGCAGCTTTTCTATTTGCAGGATGATGTTCGCACCGTTAGTTCTCCGTGCAGCCTTGCTCTTTAGCCAAAACAAGGCTGTTCTGGCATGACAAGACTCCCTTCTTTGGCTGGTTCTCACTGTGTAGGCCTTGTTTTTCTCCACTCTCAAGGTCTGCGTAACAGATAAGCGAACACCTGCATTCAGCAAGTCTGAAACCCTCAGGCTAAAATATCACAAAGGGAAGCACAGAGAACAGGAGTGGTGGAGTTACACCAGGTAGACACCACTCTCCATGCAAGTACAACTGCCCTTACCATCCAAGCCCTGGCTCTGCCACAGATGTCCTCTGTAGCCTGGGCAAGGGTGCTACAGCCCAGATGAATTTAAAGGCTAATTCAGTTGCCTAAATTTCCTGGAGGGCAGGAGCCTTGACCACACTTTCATGCTGTAGCTAAATCAGTTTGGCAGCAGCTGAAAGTATCAGGGCCTCTCCTGCCCCGCTCTCCTCTGGTTTGTTTTTTTTAGGCCTACAAGCAATGTTAGCAGAATTTAAAACACCAGCACCTCAAACTTCTTTGCACAAAGGGAGGACGCTCTTGTAAATTCAGCTCAAGCTATGCAAATGATGATGAAAGAAAGAAACAGCGATGAAGCAGCGACAGGCTGGAAGCTTTCTGCAGGTGCTGTGCCTTGTATTGACTCCTCAGAGCTAATGCATTGGTCTCATCGTGCTGCCGGCAGCTGGGCAGCCCCTGCATCCGACTGTCGCTGAATTCAGCTGGGATGAGAGCACAGATCACAAGGCGGGGGAGATGAGCTTCCACTCTCTCAAACATCTTCAGCAAAGCACCTCTCTTTGCGGCACAGGAACCACAAGAAGAGTTGAACCCTTCTGGATGTACCTTCCTATTGGTGTCGGCTGCTAGGTCTCACCTGGGAAGTGCCTGGCTGTTGTGCAGGCTGGTCAGCGCTCAGCATTGAGTTAATCAGCAAAAAGGGCTGGGAATTACTGAATCTCTATGTCAGCTTATCTTTCAGCATTTCCACTTTCTTTCATTAGCAACAGCTTCCTCCAGTCAAACAATTTTGATATTTAAAATTGGCAAGGAATTCTTCTTTTTTTCACATTGTCTTAACACTCAGTAGGTCTTTGGCTTTTTTATTTTTCTGCACTCTTTTTTTTTTGTCAAAGAATGCAGAAAGTAGACATTAGTCATGCTAACAAATCATTTCTGGATATCTGTGTTTTTCATAAAGGGCACTACTAAATCCAGACAAATCACTCTCAGCAGAGAGCAGCAAAAGACTAACAGCTTGACTACAGGTCTAGGAGACTCCAAGCCAATTAAGGTACTCTGCAGCATTTTTGCTGAAATCAGAAAGCCCACAAGCAGGGCTTCAACAGTTTGCAGAAGTAATGAGACTACTCAGACTGTTTTCCCCAAGTTTGTGATTCTGCATGTTCACAGTGATGCAGATGAAGCCATTCACATCCAGAACCTGCTTGCAGAATAAATTTTGTGTTAAATCTGGGAAAATCTTTGCAGCAATACCTTTTAGTGAACATGTCTTGGAAAACTGAAGTGATGCTCTGAAGTCTCAGCATGGACTCTTTTCTGAATGGATCTTGGCATGAGTTTCAGTCTTTCACCTCCCTTGCTAACGTTCTTAACATCATAAATTACAATTCAGTCATACCTCTGAGGCCACTGAATAGCCCATTTAGCCAGGAGAAGACATTTGTTTTGCTTTTGCAGGCTGCTAATGCACTATAAGAGGATAGTTTTGGCTTTGCAAAACAAGTGGAGAAAATTTTAAGCAGGTCTACATACAGGTGACAGTGAGAGATACAGAGGGAAGAAAGGATGAAACAGAAACTAGAGCACTTGTCACGGTGAAAAAGTCTGAAGACAGCCATGCTTAGAATCATAGACTCACAGAATTGTCAGAGTAGGAAGGGACCAACGCCCCTGCCTTGGGCAGGGACATCGCCCACTAGACCAGGTTGCCCAGAGCCCCATCCAGCCTGGCCTTAAAAACTTCCAGGGATGGGGCTTCCACCATCTCTCTGGCCAACCTGTTCCAGCGTCTCACCATCCTCATGGTGAAGAAC